AAAAAAAAACTATGGGATAATGTCGTGATGGAACAACATGCAAATTCTCGGAACCAATAATAGAAGAAATGTATCAAATCATTAAGGAGAATTTATTGCTCCGTATATTGTGTCATACCTGTAGGTTCTTGGGCAAAGGGAGTGTAAAGCTTACGGACATTTGGTTGTAGTAATCTACTTCAAATGCCACAACCTTTAAAAAGAAACACAATAAAAAGTTGGATCGTCTGTGCTTAATATTCTAATAGTCTCAGACAAGGGTAAAACAAGAAGCACATACACACAAATCAAAATTGGGCTGTATTTGCTCAATTTTAATTTAAAAATTTCTCATATTAGCCAATTAAAACCAAAGTCATCACTGCTGACAAATCACAATAAATGCAAATAGAGCAGTTTCTAACTGAGTGCCGTAAAACCAAAACCAAAGTTATCACCCCAGACAATCACTAAGGCCACAGAAAATCCAGTGAACCAATCAAAACTCGAAGTAATAACATGTAGCTGACTCAAAGCGCGGGAAAAGGAGTGCGAGCGAGTCACGACTGGTTTTGGTTTTACTTCTGATTGGATGAAAGAGTGCCGCGAGTTATTTTTGGCCAATCGTGTAGCGTCGTAATGTAAAACAATTACTTTTCGACAATCAAATGAAAACCGCTTCAAAACAATGCACCAATCAGAGCACAGCTATCCAGAGCTGAGCGCGGGAAACAAAAAACAAAAGCCCGGATAATAAGCGCGGGAAAACGTGCAGGTGCCAGGCTGCGATTGGACTTTGATTTGTTTCTAATTGGTTGCAAAACCTGCACGTTTTTTTTTCTCGACCCTACGATCTTTTCAAGCCAGCTGACAGCAATACACTTCTGACCGCCACCCAAAGCAATGGTGTTTTCAACACTGGGTCCAGGCCATGAACCAATAACTACATTGTAGCTTTTATATACCGTATAAATACCGTATAAATAAGAAGGCCATTATATAACCTTTACCTTTCCATGAAGGTTTTCAGCCCGAGTTGAGCTCGCAATAAATTCTGTAAGAAACATGAGAGGCAAAAAACATTAAAAAAGTGATGATAATTCATAAAAGTAACGTTTTCTAATTTTTGGAGGAAACTTCCCCTGGCACCAAATCTTTGTCTATCTCAGATCTTCTTTGCATCTCAACAAATACCGAGGGTGGGGTAAATGTGAAGATAATTCATAGCCGTGAATGGAGCCATTTTAAACGTAAACTGCATACCTTCTTTGTCAGGTGATTTGAAATTCCCCATGGCGACTGCGTATCCTATAAAAGTAATTAGATGACATCATTAACGTTTTTATTGTTTCTTTATCATGTTTATTTATTATTTATATAAAACATTTCCATGTTGCCGTGCGTCTGTTCAATAATCGATCACAAAAGACGTTAAAATTTGCTAAGAACAAAGAGTGGCACAGGAGCAATTAGGCGTCCTCCCCATCCTTAAAATTTTGTGTTTCCCCTATTTTTACACCGGGTTGGAGAGAGGCACTGTTAAGTGGCAGTACCCTAGGGTTTGCTGTGCTCTCCCTGAAAATACTCAAATTGATCTTTAAACTGAAGCTTACTCACCAAAGGCATTAGCAGAGCTAAAATCATCAAACACTTGATTCTTTGAAGATCGTATGGTTTCCCTTGTGTTGTCAAAGTAGACTGCAATAGAACCTGTTTGAAACAAGGAAGTCAAGAACACATTTTAAACATCAAACAATTTATTATCGTGAAAGAAAGCATAAAAATTCTTTTCTCCACTGGCGTCAAATTGAGCGTTTTACCTTCTGTCTTCGATTTTGCACCCTACATTATATCAAGCTCAAGAAATTTATCTTCTGTACATGAGCGAACATACAATCGAGCGCGTTAATCACATCGCGCACGACGCCACGCGTGGCATCTCGTCGCGCAAGGTGATTTTTTTCACTCGATCGCGTACCTGCCTTCTTCGTCAAAGATTTCTTTCACGCATTTTACAAAAACAAGATCACCTTACCATTAACCGAGAATCGGCCTGGCGCCCCCAACAACGCAATTTCGCCATCTTTTGACATTGCAGCGCTAAATCCGGCCTCGCATACCCCATCCTTGTTCTCTAAATAATCTCCGCCTACACCATCAGCTGAAACACACCAACAATATCAATCCGTCTTAACATTAGAGTTATAGGCTTAGAAAAAATCCCAACTAGTGGGAGGCGCACCAGTTGGCTATTTACAAGAATGACTGGGGAGTTGAACKAGGSACCKCCGAGAAAAGCTGAGTAACAACTRCAGCTAAGTGATCAGAGCTCGACTTGAACCCGCGACCTCCGGATTTCAAGTCCGGCGCCCTAACCACTCGGCCACGCTGTCTCCAACATCATTCACTGGTTTACATTAACCTAAAGCAACGAAAGCACAATTGAAAAAAAATCCCACAATTTTATATTTCCAGATTCTTGGGTTTTTGTCAGAGGAGTGTTTATCCGTGAACACGAACGCAAAAGGGCGGTATGGACGAAAAGGGGTTGGGGCAAGACTAGAAAAAGTTGAAATTTTCAAACCCTCAGTTCTTGTGAGCGCGGCACTCATGTCTCCTTGCAATCCCTTCTAGTCTGAAATAATCCCTGCCTGATTTCGAGAGCAAAACAGACTGCCAGCACTCTATATTTTTCGTCGAGTTCAACTGAGAAACTAGTTAGCCGATAGAATACTCGTGCTCCTAGGCTACAGTTGTTAAATATATTCATGCCAAATAGAGGTTACTGGTAATCTATCTGTTATTTCATAATGGCGTCATCACTTCAGTCTCATGCGATGACGTCAGTAAACACCTGATGATTTACTTACGGTTGTGAAAGCAGGGCTGAATGGTGCGGGGAGAAAAAGACAAGTCATTCCATACTTCATAGCATTTTCCTAGGAGCAATCGCTTTCTTTCCTCAGGCTGCTCGTCATGTCTCACGACGCCGCGAAGGGTGTACCTTGGTGCACATACCTAATGACAGTACGAATGAAAATAACTACACCATATGATACAGATAATTATCACATAGCACGGGTGTTTGACTGGAAAATTGAGGGGCGGTGGGCGACGGGGATATCGGCAAACAACTATCGGTAGATACATTTCATATAAAATAAGGTGTAAAAAGCATGAGATGTCATTTTCCTTCCTACTTTTGTAGCCTATTTTTGTTTCAATCAAACACTGCTTACCAGTAATTTCCCATAGCTTGAGGATCTACTTGTACTAATCACGGTTGCTCCAAGCCATTGTCCTGATTTCTCTTCGGTATTCACCTGTTTTCCTTGCCAAGTGGTTGTTCTGGGGTCTATAGAAAAGGTGGCAGGTGCAGAAATGAAAAGGATGGAGGGTGAAAACGAGCGCGAGATGTGACCATTCCACGATCTGCGCCCTCTTTCTGTTCTCTTATTCAGTGCCTGCCTTTGACTGTGCCTTTTCGCGCCTTGTTTATAAGCCCCCCTATCTCGAGCTCCTTTCGCACCCCCTTTCGAGCTCTTGTTTTGCTCTCTTATTCAGTGCCCTCATCTGACAGTCCCTTTGGGCGCCTTCATTATAAGCCTCCCTATCTCGAGCTCCTTTCGCGCACACCCTTTCGAGCTCTTGTTTTGTGTTCTCTCTCTGCTCTCTTATTCAGTGGCCTCCTTAGACAGTCCCTTTTCGCGCCTTCATCGAAAGCCCTCTTTTAACGCCCTCCTTTCGCACTCCCATTCTCTCGCTCACTCCACGCGTTCCTTATATTTTACGACAATTTTCTCGCCTCTCCTTTCAGAGCGAAAGAAGAACCCGTGATAGCCTGTGCATGAGGTCCCCTCCACACTACACCGGAGGAATTTGAAAATGGAGGTTTCCCTCTCAAAACACATTAAATGTTTTCCGTCTACACTCCGCCGGAGGAATTTAAAGTGCCTATGACATAAAAAATAATTGCTGCTTATTTGAAAGGCTTTTCAAAATAAAGAAGAATGGTGGTGTTCATTTCTGGTGCCAAGTTTGAAGAATACTGCTTCAATATTTCCAGAGATATTCTTTATTCAGTATTTTACCATTTTAGTTGCAAACCTCATGACGTCATCATTTTCCTAATTTGCATAATACGAAAACGGCAATATCTATAAAGGGATAAAAGATACTCCAAAAAGGAAAACGCCATTCTTGTTTATTTTGAAAAGCCTTTTAAATAAGCAGAAATTATGTTTCATTTCATAGGCGCTTTAAAAACACATGAATCACGGGTCATTTTGGATTTGTGTTTGAGGCAAATTCGGTCAGGGAGGTCACATGTTCATCGAGAAGCTATCGTTTTCGAAAAGCTCCGTTTTCAAAATGTTTTCTGTCCACACTAAAACGCAAAGCATGCATTTTCAAATTACTCCGGTTTGAAGAGGCTCCGCTTCCGTGACAGATAAGTGTGGACGGTAGGCCAGTCAGGGGCGGATCTAGGGAAAGGGTGCGGGGGTGCGCAACCCCACCGCCCCGAGATGAAGCCTTCTTTGTATTCGCTTTTAAAATTTGTTTACCTCACCTGTCAGTTGCGCCGTTCCTTAGCGGCGCACCCCCTCCTAAGAAAAATCCTTGATCCACCCCTGGGCCTAACCGTGAAAATAAAGCTGCGTTTTCAAATTCCTTCGGCGTAGTGTGGACCGGCGGGGCCTGAGAGCATGCTCGCAGGCTAGTGATCAAAGGGAAGCTCCCCGGGGGCAGCTCCCCGAGGGCAGCTCCCCGAGGGCAGCTCGACCTGTGGAAAACTTGCTTCTCGTGTAATCCTGTTGAGCATATCAAATGAGTGGTTTTGACAACTCGTTAGCCTACAAAATTTCCCCTACCACTGTCATCGATCCTGATCACTTCACACTTCTTGGTTGAATCGGTATTACATTTATAAACACTTCCGTATCTATTTCTTTCACGAAAGAGCGATGTCTTGTTTCCTAAGGGAGCTCCGACCACAACCCTGCAAATTAAAACAATGCAATGACGTTATTGGGGACGTAAATCACGTTTATTTTTATTATCCTTTTCTTTGATACATGTACCTTCGTCTCTTTTTAAAATTCGTAGTATTCATTTCCGTTACGCCGTGATTTCCGAAGTATTAAGTCATGGAAATTCTATGTTTGGGGACTCAAGATCGAGGAAACACGAGGGAGGGTTAAATATTGGCACGTATTCGAAAATAAACTCTTCATTAAAATTTACTCGCATTTCATTCATTCCGTGAAAGCAAACAGAGCGTGACGGTGGAATTATGCAGTTTCACGTTGGTTTCAAAACAGTCCAATAGTTGAATGAATTAAACAATGACAGAAAAAAATTAAGAACGACTTATAGATCTGGTTTTCTTTTGGCTTTAAATGCGTTTCTGACCACGTATATGGCACATTACTCCAATATTTCAAGAGGCATCTGTCGAGGTCATTCGTCGATTTAACAGATTTGGTACACAATAAGAAAAAAAAAACAGCCCACGATTAGACTGTCGAATCTTGTGTGTAATCTTAACTTGCCGGCAAATTTACGCATAAAGTGCACAAAAGAAAAATCAAAACCAAAGTGCTGTACAGTTCAATTAATTCAATAATCATTGCATGCATGCTGCGCTGCCACAGTTAATCAACTTAATACAGACGCTATCAGGTTTGCGATAACTCGAAGCTATGTCAATACATTTCATCACATCACGCCATTCGATCAGTTGAAGACTTGACAATATAAATTTAGAATATAACAAGGATTACCTACATCTTAAATTGAGACCCAACATTGCTCGACTCAGAAATTTGTTCATCGCCTTTACACTCTCGCTAAAACGTACTAACCCACCCAAGCGCTGGTTGTTCTCCGTAACAACGACTATATATTTTAAATTTTCTGACTTACCAGTTGTCGCCATTTTGCTGCGCGTGCAAAGCAACGGTATATCCAAAATATTCCCCTGAGCTTCCTTTATAGACGAAAGGATCTTTAACGTCCAAATTGAAAGGCAAGACTGCTGCAAAACACGCAACAAGTGTCAAGACAACGGAACAACTGCGAACCATCGCTCCTGTTCCCGATCAGTCAACTGCTCAACTGAATACCCGAGCTAAAACAACGTGGTGATAACGTGTAAGATTTGAGCGAACAGTGTGGTAACGTCAACTTTTATGTGATCAGGAATATTTTCACCCGCAAGAATATGTATATGTATATTGCTTGTCTACCAATGACTTGTCACCGGAAGCGGAAGTCACATCATCACCTTATTCAAACTTTGGAAAGTGTTTCACTCAGCGAAGCATAAGCTTTTCGCGAGGAGCGCTGAACCCGCTGAAGCTTGATGTGCGGCGGGCGCTCCTCACAGAATCATGGCTTCGTCGAGCTGAAAAAGAAAAAAACAAAACCCTTTGGCACCCAGAGTAGGGTTTGACGTGACAAAAATTGACCCACAACTACATTTTTGTACCTGAAATTTTATGTACCGGTGACAAGGTTTTGTGTCACATGTAAGATCTTTGACTAAACTAGCCACAAAAAAAAATATTTTCTATATAAAAGGAAAAAGTTTGGAAGTTGTGCCAAGCCTAACACAAGTTGAATAAAATAATTTCCGGCTATGCCCTACTCGTCACTTCCGTTATCGTCAAACGCACTGTAACGTGAAGGCGCTCATTATCTGAGGCGCTCGCTTCAGTCAGCAGCACTCGGGTTTTGTCACACAAAGAGCTCTGAGGTCCTTGTCATCTTGTACATCTTGTTGTTACGTTCATCCATAACATAAAACAAAAGAACAATAACTACAACCAAACAACAACAAAATTTTCCGATGAGCTGGATGTGTCCAACTACATGTACGTGAGAGCTCTATGATATCAACCGTGCACTTACGATCATTTACAGACAACCAGTCTTACTAACGCTACACTTAACAAGAACAACGGTTTAAATATTCATACACAAAAGCTAAAGTTGACAATGTAAAAAAAGAACACAAACAATAAACAAGAGGAAAGATTTGAAATGTAACTTAGAATTCAACAAGCGTTTTAAATGAAATTCTTTATTTATTTACGTCACGTTTTGTGCCTGACCTCACCCATAACCGAATTTACTTTTCAGCAAAATTGAATATCCGGAAGGAAAGAAGAAATTTGCGTTCCCAGAAAACAGGGAACATGCTGCAAAGGCTCGACTTAAGCTTGTATCGAGAGCGGTCTTTGTTCCAGAACAGCATGCAGCTTGCACTGAAACTGAAGTTTCAAGTGCTATCCCTGTTACACTGTTAGAGCAAATGAAGAGACAAACTTGGAACTTTACAAAGTATTTATTTGATTCATAGCAAAAATAAATGGTATGATTTATTACAAAAATTACAGTTAAATAAACGCGATTGATAAAATATAGCTGCTGTTGCATTTGGTATAAAAATACTTGTGTAACACTATCATTTCCTACCTAAAAAACTGCCTGAAAAATTCCGATACCCTCTTATCATCAAGTAAAAATATTTGTAAAATGATTACAAGAATGTCCTTAAAACTATTCGGTATGTTGTGTCACACGCTAAAAAAGGAAAAATCTAGAAAATGGAGCTAAAACCTAAGGTACCTTTCGATATTGAAGAAAAATTCATTATTGCGGAACCAGCTTCTGACCGGTTCTTTCAGGTACATAAAACTAACAGGAGGTAAAATCGAACAGGCACCACCGGTCACTTTCCCTAGATTAATCAAACTGAAACGTTACCATTATATCTAGATGTATCATATATGCATTCGCATGAGTTATATAGGATATAAAATAAAAAAAAAAATGGTGAAAATGAGAATGGTGTAATTCTACATTTGTATGTTCACGACCATTGTTCACACACGTCTTATCATAACCACGTATTCATTGGTAAAAATACTACCGTCTCGTTCTAGCTTTTTCAGTGATAATAATTTTTTCAACTTGCAAAACTTAAAATTCTTTCCAATAATATCGATTTGCGACCAAACTTATCAAGGTTCTGAGAGTTATACAAATGATATGTGCCAAATTCTCCGTATTAGTGCTTCGTTAAACACTGAACGCGGCCAATCAATTTTTCCGCTGAGCTCTTATGAGACGTTCTCCATGCAGAGGAAGGTTGGATTTTAGCTACCTCTTCTCCGCGCTTAGTCCGAAAGCGACATTTCCCTCTTTGGTAAGCGACCATATTCCGATTGTCCAAAGCACGATTAAGTTCTTTAGCTCAGTTTTGGAAAGGATTACGAGATGTTTTGCCTATACTTTTTTGCGTAAGTTCAATTCTGAATTGAACTTACGTGAAACTCCACGAAACGGCTGCGCAAAAACACTGTTAGACAAGAGAAAGCGTCGAGTGACGCTTAATCCTGGATTAGCGGTAATAATTGAAAGGAGGAGGCTGAAATTCAGTCGACTAATAAAACAAAAAAAAACAAAAAAAACAAATACTATCAATCAATCAATTTTTTGCAATGTTTTCTTGGGCGATCGCACGAGCGCTCAGTGGCGCTTTGATTCCCTGACAAGATTAGAAAGCCTACAAAAAAAACTTAATCAAAACTTTAAACGAGTGTCAATCAAAGGTTGGTGACGTTACACTCCACCACAACTGAGTCCCGGATGAAGTCAGTTGAAGTTTGCAAGAGTATCTTTTGTAAAGTAATTACTACTAACTTTGTTTAAATTTCAAAATAGCTACAGAAACCAACACATCCTCGTCTGTCTCGCCAAGATGAGACATGTTTTACTTAACAGTCATTTCCGTGATGTCCGGGCCAGATATGTCCTTTATTCGTTTTCGTTTGAAAAATCCCACCTGAGACATAAACAAGAAGGATGGAAATTAGCGAAAATTCAACAACGCTACAAGAGCTCATAATTTTACCCTGGAAGTAATAGAGCAGGTTTCAACTGAAGGTCGTAAAACCAGCACCTTAGTAATCACTCTGACCAATCGGAATGGACACGCCACCACAAGCCAGTGAGCCAATCAAACTCGAAGTAATTACATGCAGCTAACGCAAAGCGCGGCAAAACGAGAGCGAGCGAGTCACGATTGGTTTTGGTTTTACCTCTGATTGGATGAAAAAGTGGCCCGAGTTTTTTAAGCTCATCGTCAGTGAAGCAAAGTTGATGCAAAACCAACTTTTCGACACTCAAAATGAAAACTGCTCTATGCTCTTTGTTAATTCACCAAGTCAAAAATAAACTCTAAATTTTCGATTTACAGCAAAGCTGAACTTTTAAACGTTTGAGTGATCCCAGTCTCTTCCACGGCCATTCTTCAAATTGTCACGTAACGCTTTTTTAGCTGTGTCACAGCGTTTCTTCTGGTTTCCTAGAGGACCCAGAGGAAGAAGTACAGAAAGATGTAGCACTTTCTAAGCAAGCGACAAATTTTTGACATAACTTAGAACTTCAAGTCTGTTCGTGCATAAAGCAACGACAACGTAGTCGATGACTACTGTCACGGTAAGAACGCGTTACATTTTTTGATCCTTGTTCTTCAGTCACGCATCACGCGAGGTTTGTGGCAGCCATTGGTACGCTTTCATCCATCGGAGCCGAGATGTCTTTTGCTCGTTTCCTTTTGAAAAATCCAAGCTGAAGAAAAAAGTCAAAAATAAATCACAAGCCTGCCAAAGGATGGAGGTGATAGCGAGGCAAAGTTCTGGAGAATAGTTGATAGAGATGTAGTCCATGACATGCAGAGGAAGAGGTGATCGAATTTGCGACGGTGTATAGTGAAGGATGATGATGACGCCATATATATATATCGCTGCGATCCAGTTCACACTAGCAAGAGCGGTTATTTAGCTTCTTGTTTACACGAGCCCTTCACCACTGATGCCATATGTGATTTAGCTTTCTGTTCACACGAGCTCTTCACCACCGTGTTATATGTGATTTA